GCTTCCCCTCTCTCCTGCCCTCACTGTGAACTTGTTCCTGCAGCTTGACCTCTTTTTGTTCTGCTCTCACTGTTGCAACGAGGGTCTCTCTATTATTGATGACACATCAATATTGGACGAACAGGACTGTGTTTTCTTCTTCTACTGTCTGAGTCTGACTGACCGAACATCTGGCTGGTTGTGATGAGGGCAATCTCAGAATTAAAGTGTTTTGCTCTCACCTCAGGGTATCCTCCCACATCGTGCACGTCAATGCCCAGCAGGTGTCCCAGGCCATGGGGCATGAAGACAGAGCCCAGGTGGACCTTCAACATGTCCTCCACGCAGCCAATCAGGATGCCGATCTTTACCAGCTCCTCCAGGTGAACCCGGTCAGCCAGGCGGTGCATGTCAGTCCACTTCACACCTTCAACACAAGCAGCAAAGTTTTTTGTCTTTCACTTTTTACATTTAAGAATGCATGAAATCCAATTTCACCAATTTCCTTTTAGCCTCTCAAAATGTAGATATTAATCTAAGACCAGGTTTACATTTCACTTACAATTATAAATATTATTTACAAGACCTCAGCAACTGTAATCACAAGTAAAGAAAATATGTTTAACTGTACTCAAAACCTTAACATTGTTTAAGAACTCAAGTAAAACGTTGATCACTATGGTTTGTACTTTACATCTACCAAAAAGATTCCTGTAAAATGCAACAAAACAATTCGCATTAACCCTGCACTGGCAGTACTTTGAGGGCAGAACATTATATTGTGAGTACTTTTCCTCACTTTACTTTTTGGTAGCTCAGTAAAGTGTACTCAACAGTTAAAGTGACTATAAGATGATAACCTGGTTTGATGGCCGCCAAAACAGCTCGGGAGGATTTGAGGACGGCCTCGTAGATGGCCCTCTGGTCTGGAGTGAACTTGCCATTGGCTGGGAAGGAGCAGGTGATGTCTGAGGAGTAGCAGTAGTACTCTCCACCCATGTCGAACAGACTGTAGGGGGCAAAACATCACAACAGATTCAGTCAGATTTATTTCCAGTGTTTCTGAGCCAAAAGTTAAAAACTACTGAAGGCTACTCACCACATGTCTCCATCTATAATTGTCTTATCATTTGGAGCCCCAGCATGGCCGTAGTGGAGAACAGAGGAGTTATTGCCCCTGTTGTTAAATAAAAACACACTTTCTGAGTTGAAGGGACATATAGATATTGTAAGTATGATTAACTACTACACTACAAGGTGGTAACTGCATTGAATGTGACGTATATAAAGCTACCGTGAAAACAAATTTGAATTAAATACTAATATATTTCAATATAGCATCAAATTGATTCCAATCTTACAACATTTCATTAATTCCCTTTTATGTTTTAACCAGGAACACACCATAGTGCCTCTTTCAAGATTCACTGTGATGACCAGGTCCTCATTTGCATCCACTGACCACTAATCCCCAGCAAGTATTCATTACACCTGGCCTTTAATACAAAAGGCCAAAGCATGATTAGCAAACATGTTTCAAAATGTTTCATCTATAATGATGCTGCTGGCTGACAGTAACTCTGCAACAAAGAGGAATTTGAGGTTGCACTGGTTGGCAGGCACGGTTTGGTTTGGCCAATAAGACAGTCGGGATACTGTAAGAGTCCAACTTCCTCTGAATTCTAAACTCTGCTTTGTGTTCAAATATGCCACCGAGTCATAAAGGGTGAGGTGAACGTGCATGGGTGTCACTCGCATATGTTTGCATACCTTTTGCTTCTGGACTTACAGTGTATTATAGGTTATTCTTATAGTGTGTTTATGTTTGTTTTTGTGTCTGTTTTGAACCCGCCAAAACAGACACATTTGTTGAATCAACAAATACACGACACATAGCTGAGATATGGGAGGTGTGTGCATCAGATGAAACAGCTAAACGAAGCCTTACGTTCCACAGATACAGGTATACGAGGTGTGACGCATCCCTCCTTTATTGTAGCAGTCGTGCTGGAACAAGCTGTAAAGAAGAAAAAAAGGAAACAAAAGACTTTGAGCACAGCAGAAATCACAGATCAACACATCTATGGATCTTGACTGCATCGCAACACTGTGTAAGATAAGTTCCTGTTTCCTGGTTCATCTTACACAGCAAAGGAAAATGAGTATGACTGACGGCTGCTCTGACACATTATTTTAAAAAACTCACTAAAATATACGAACACAAATAAAACATTACTAAATTATCATTCAAATGACAATCATGGGTTATCTGTGTTTCTCTGTTGAAATTAAGACTTTTTCATTAATCAGAAATAGACCTTGCTAGATCTTCCATTTGATTATAAACCTGCTCCTGTAATAATCTCATACTATATTTCATAGACTTTTGCATACCAACAATAGAGGGCAATGTCAACCTGACAGTACCAGGTCTACCAGTGTCACTATGGCACTGTGAAGCATGCAACATAATGTA